AGGTGCAAATGTGGACCCATCCACTGATAAAAAAATAAAAGTTATACGCCTCTAAACTTTTATAGGTTTCATCTGCTGTTTGGTGTAGTAAAATGTTTAAAGGACCAGATAGTTGGTGATATTGACAGCATCGACTGCCTGCAAATCTTTAGGCTTTGTTTAAAACTCATTCATCTTCATGAGTCATATCAAACATATTTGTTAACTAATTKCTGGTGTCTTTGTCTTGAAGCTGTATCTACTGCAATGACCATCTTTACCAGTGGTGGACAGTTACAAAATACATTTACTTGAGTACTGTATTTAAGTACAGCTCAATGTTTGAGATTTTAGGACTGAAAAATATTTTGTATCAGTTTAAATGTCTTTCGTTTTCACCACGGATTAAACTACATTTCTGCATTTAAGACCTCACCTCTCACTTTATTGCATTTTTATGCTGAAATCTTTACAGGTGGTGTAGAATTTGTATCAGAGTGGTTCTATGTGTCGATACATCAGGTGGTTTCTGAGAGTTACAAGGTTCTGTAAATTCACACTGAAAACAATACAGCAATGTACTGATATTAAACAATTTAATTGGTACTTTGGAATACTTGAGTATTTTAAATGCATGTACTTTTTAATGCTTAAGTAGTTTCAAAAGCAAGTTCTTCAGTACTTTAACTTAAGTAGATTTTTGACCAAGCAGCTTTTACTTGTAGTTGAGTAAGATTTGGCCATGAGTATCGGTACTTTACTCAAGTACTAGAGCTGAGTACTTTGTCCATCACTGGTTAATGTTATAGGCATCATAACAAAGTATCAATTAGGATTCAACTCAAGCTAATGCCAATAATGAAAAAAAGATAAGCAAATCAAAATTCAGTTCGTAAATAAAGTTGTTTTTTTTTGTTTGTTTTGTATTTCAGTCTGTTCATCTTCACCTTACAGAGACATTGGTTTAGTTTCCTCACTAAAACKGCACGAATTTGGCCATTTCAGTGCCCACAAAGGGCTAACTGTGACTAAACCTGAAGAGGRTTTCAATTGAAGCCGTTAAATTAATCATAACATGGAGCCYGAATGCGACATCCCTCTCCGTTTAAGAGTGCCGGGGTTTGGAGGAGAGAGCTCGTGCATCCAATTACCGCCATCTTCAGGCTCCACGAGAGGAAGAGTCCTCGGTGTTCAGGAGGAGGCACTGATTCGTGACTGAGCAGCCTGGCTTTAAAGTGACGTTTGCAAACAGAGACAGTGTTTTAGTTAGTTAGACGAGCTGAAGGGCACCTTGAGGTAGAGATTTTTTTTTTTTTTGTAAAAATAAAAGTCTTTGCTGTGAGAACAGCAGTGATGCAGAGCTTCTGTTTCAACACTGCGCAGCGACATTGGAGGGGAATGCGTGCAAACCTGAGTTCACTTTAGCGCAAAGAGCACAGTTCCCTCCTTGGAGGGACACCCGGCAGCGCGCTGCKGGGCGATGCGCGCGCACACGTACAAAACACACGCACACAGGCGCCACCATATGTTTACCTCCGTGTCGTAGATCTTGGTGATGAGTGAGAAGGGGTACCTCCTGGACTCCCGTATGTGCTGGATGGCCAGCTGGACCGCCGGTTCGATGCCCTGGCTGATGCTGCTCATCGGGGCCGACTCGTTCATGGGCATGAGCACCATGATGGGCAGGTCCTCCCCGTCCCTGGTGAACCAGCTGTTGTCCTGGCCGTGCTTGGTGCGGTCGTTGCACACCTTGGCCAGCGCGGGGTGGAACAGCAGAGCGGAGAGGAGCAGGAGCATCTCCCGGCCGCCGCGGTCCCTCCGGGCTGGAGCCATGCTGCTACGGAGCAGGGTGACCGAAACAATCCCACCACCGCCGCCGCAGCCGCCGCCGCCGCCGCCGCCGCGCGCTCACTGTCCGGGCATCGCCAATCCGGGCTGGTCCAGGACGATCAAAGCCCACCTCTGGAGGGAAATTTGGGGAGGGGGGGAAGAGCCGGAAGCAGGCGCAGCAACCCCTGCAGTGGGCACGCTTCCTGTACGGGTTCTGACCAAAACCTGACACAATATCTCTGCTGGAGAAATAACACCTCTGAGAATATTCCACGCGCTCAGGAAGTCGCGCTGCGGATGGAGATCTGCAGCCTCTCGGTGTCCGTCATCTGAACGATCTCCTGCCAAAACAGCTCCMCCGCCTTCTCACCTTTAATGTGGAGCGCTTGTCTCAGGAGGTTCGGAACGATGCCCGAGAATCAGCAAGGAAACCAACAGAACCAYGGAAGAAGTGCGGACAGAAATTAATCACTCCTGACAGTTCTGTCCTCCGGAGTAAATYCCCAGCCAAGAGATGAGAGCATCACTGCCAAACGCAGAGCTCGGAGTGGAAAACCCAGAGAAGAATGGGAGAGAAATGCGCAAAAAATAAAWAAATAAATAAAAGAAACGTTAAAGAAATGAGAGGGATGGAGTTGGAGGTTGAAAGCTTCGGAGGGAGAGAGGTCGGGAGCGTCTGTCCTGACAGCCTGCGGGACTGGGATGCTCATCTCCGAGAGTGCGTCAGAGGAGCGCTGCTGCTGCTGCTGCTGCTGCTGCTGCTGCTGCGCACCGAGCGCGCGAGAGGGAGCACTGAGTGTGGAGGAGGAGAGAAAACGAGGAAAGGAGGGAGGGAAGGAGGGGTGCGACGCAAACAGCGTGGTGGAAAAGGCTGCAAAGGCTTATGCGGGGCAGACTCAACAGCCACAGGGTGATTTRTGAGCTTTTATGTTGGAAATACATTTTAGCTTATGGAGGCACATAATGTGCATCTGATCTAACCCGATCCAATGTGACGCACAGCACAAACTCACAGCACTCACATCAAAGAGAAAAGTTTATTTAGCTGTRTTTTTACTTCCTCATTAGAAATGCAGCTCCTCGGGATGAGACTGGTCCCACAGGCGGCTGCAGGRATTTGATCCCTGAGCAGTTCTCCACCTGCTGCTCCTGCAGGGCTCACTGTTAGAAACATCTAGCTGCGTGTCTTTATCACGCATGAATATGCACGTGGGAAACCCAGCAGCCAGTAAAAAATAAATATACTTGTCAGTTCAAGTCTTCAAATAAAAAACATTCAGAAAAAGATAAATAAAACGGAGGATTTTAGATTTCAGCACGACGAACAGCTCCTATGTTTGGGGAGGTCTTGAAGCTGTCCGTGGTGCTGAAACCCAACAGAGCAGGGTTTATTTGCTGGCATGCTGACATTAGTTTTTCACCTTTTTGGTTTACTTTGCTTCCTGCTGCACATAAACCTAAAATAAGGCAATTATTGCAAGAGCTTGCAGCAGACTTCARTGTTTTGTTTCTCGCATTGGAAAGAAAAACAAATATTCTGCTTGGGAGAAACTTTTCTAAATATGTAGGAAAACGTAAAAAAATGAGTTACTCGCAGCACCAAGGCTTTATT